AGTGACCAAGCCATTTGTCTCATGCCATCCATCTCCAGCCTTCCACAAACAGAGGCCAGGGACACCATTTCTACCCCCTGGCTAATACCACTCCATGGACCCAACCTCCATCACTTTATCTCACTTCTCTTTAAACTCTGTTCTAGTTCTAGCCTTCACAGCCTCCTGCAGCAAGGAGTTCCACAGGTTGACTCTTTGCTTTGTGAAGAACAACTTTCTGTTACTAGTTTGAAGCCTGCTACCCATTCCTTTCCTTTGGTGTCCTCTAGTCCTTCTTTATGGGAACTAATGAAGAACTTTTCTGTATGCACCCTCTCCACGCAACTCCTGCTTTTAGAGACCTCTATCCTGTCCCCCCTCCGTCTCCTCTTTTCTAAGCTGAAAAGTCCCAGTCTCTTTAGCCTCTCTTCATATGGGACCTGTTCCCAACCCCTGATCATTTTAGTTGCCCTCCCCTCTCCCAGCCTCTCTCTTCCCTTCTCCCACCTCCTTTTCCCAGTCTCCCCCAGTTTTGTTCAATAAAGACAGATTCCATTTTGGAAGACATGTTATCTTTATTTTGTACATCAAGAAGGGGGGCTAGGGAAGGGTAAGTGGAAGGAGGTGAGGGAGGAATGGGGTATGCACCCCCGATGGGGAGGACTGGGCTGGCTCTGCGGGCTTCTGGGGGTGGGAGCTCTCCTGCAGCCCCCCAATTGCCCTCTCTCCCCAGATGGCAGCCTGCGGCAAGTGCAGCCGGGCTAATGGCCGAGTGCTGTGATGTGCCCAATGTGGGCACTCCGGGCAATCCAAGCCAGGACTGCTTTGCAAGCGGGACACCCCTGAGAACTGTCTGTCTGGGGTGGGGGTCGGGACCCTTTAAGCACAGCCCTCGGCTAGCCTGAGACAGCATCTCCACGCTCTAAGTCCTCCTCTGATGCCCTGCCGGCACTGCTTCCGGCCATCCTTAAGCCCGGTTCAGGGTCCACTTAATGTGGACATGCTAGTTCGAATTAGCAAAATGCTAATTCCAACTAGTTTTTTAGTCTGGATCCGTTAGTTCGAATTAGCTTAGTTCAAATTAACGTTGTAGTGTAGACATACCCTCTCAGACTTTTGGAGACAGAGCAATCTACACCTGTGGACAACTCCCTAACCCAAAGCAAATTCTTTCCAGCAGTGACACATCACACCTCAGACACACTTACTCAGTAACCTACCCCTGCAACAAACCCCATTGCCAACTCTGTCCACACACCTATACAAGTGACACCATCGCAGGACCTAACCACATAAGCCACAACGTCAGGGGCTCATACAATTGCACATCCTCTAATGTGAGATATGCCACCAAGTGCAAGCAATGCCCCTCTGCCATGAATATTGGCCAAACTGGACAGTTTCTACGACAAAGGAACACAAGTCAGATATCAGAAATGGCAACACACACAAACCTGTAGGGGAACATTTTAACCTGCCTGGGCACTCAATGGATTTAAAAATAGCCATTCTTCTACAAAGCAATTTCACAAGCCAGCTACAGAGAGAGTGGAATTGGCCTTCATATGCAAATCTGACAGTGTTTCCCTTGGGCTTAAAGACATGAACTGGAAGTCACATTATAAAACCAGCCTTCCTTACACTGAACAACTTATTGCCATCAAAAGCTAAGTATGGAACACTTCCAGCCCACTCAACTAGCCTCATTAGCACCAGCATGGCAATGGACAAGTATATGCTTTTCCTCTCCCTTCTTTTTCTGTTGTAATTCTAAGTGTCCCCCTTTTGTCTCTACTCAAGCACATCCGAGGAAGTGGGTTTTGCCCAGGAAAACTCATGATACTATATCTAGATATTTGTTAGTCTCTAAGATGCCGCAGGTCTGCTCATTGGTTTTCCTGTGAGACTTTGTATGCTGGGAAAGAGAAACAACAAGGGAGCACCAGACAGGACAAAATCAGGGGCTACTGCTAAAGAACTGTAGGAAATTGTGTTATCTTATTTCTGTCCATAGATAAGCCCTTTATTAAGCACAGACTAAGACTATGCCTACACTGCACTTTAGTCTGTAAGAATATTGTCAGACAGGAATGTGAAAAAAAACCAACTGAAAAGTTTTATTGATGAAAAGCACTACAGCTTGAACCTTTAAAATCCAGGACTCTCTGGTTCGGATAGTGCTGGGTCAGAGAGCCCCGGCTGGGCTAGTTGTGGGGAGCACAGCTGGGAATTGAATCCATCTTTTTAATCCCAATTTGGCATTGTAATCACAAGGCCATCTTTCCTCTTTATTACTCATGAAAAAAACACGTGCTTTTGTTTCACAAAACAGAACATTTGCGGATTGATGGCTTATAGTATGAAAAGGACATGTATTAATAGGAAACTGAAGGCACATTAGGTGGCTTTACAAAATTTCAGTACAGCAGATGTGCATGTCTTTTTTTTTTAAAGTTATAACACTGAGATATATTTGGACGACTTACCAGGTATATAACATCACTAAAGTCACATTCCTCAGGTGCTGCTTCCTGAAGAGATCCAGAATAGTTCCAAATGTATCCTTTTCTACAGGTGTCAGCTTTTTAAATACACAAGCAAAAAAAGGGTCAAAATACAAAAGAGAAACCAATAGGCTGATCCAACTCCTACAAAAGCCAGTGGAAAGATTTGCCACACCTGGGAAAGGAGATTGGTACCAATAAGGTTCCACTGATGAGCAATAGAGCACTGCCGTACAGCATGCTAGATTCAGAGGATCAAAGCCTATTTTTCTAAATGCCCCCATTTTGGTCACTAAAAGTTTTCTTGGGATAAATATTCCTGACAAGAGGCTTCAGGAAAATATAGCAGACATTATTATTATTTGATAGGATTAGGAACAAAAATCTAGGAAACTCCATGGTACTTGAGCAAACTGGTCTGTAAAAAAGCCAGAGGATGATTTAAGACCATTTCTATAAAGTGATTGTACCCCACAGATATGTTAGATGAAAGTTACAGAGCAACTTTGTCCTTTTCTTTGATCCACTATCTACTATATTCAGCCTTCAATATAAAGTAGTGCTAGCAAGAAATTGGAATTCTTTCATGCTAGTGTCGACACTTTGTAAGGGACAAAACCCCAACATTTGGGAATTTTCCATGAATTGGGAATTCCCAAAATTTCATGTAAAAAAGCTGAAGTGATATTTTGTTTTGACCTTTTCAAAATGTTTCTCATGTTCTCTGAGCCCAAAAGCCCCAAAATTTCTTGCATTCACCTCATGTTCTGCCTCGAACTTGGGATCCTGAAAGACCTAGGACCTTCAGAGCTAAAAGCAGCTGGCTGTTTTCTCAGTGATATCATAGGCTTATATTCTTTTAGGACCAAGCCTAAGATGTGGCCATGTAACACATGCTGAACAGTAATATACAATATAAAACTAGTAGTGTTTGTATCTCTGTTCCAGTACACTTTGCATACAATTTGTTTTATCAGATTTGTATGCTCTTTGTGGCAGGGACCATGTATGCAGACAGTGCTCAACACCCTGGGGCCTGATCCTAACTGCAGCCTCTGGGTAACATGAAAGAAATTAAATTCTCCAGGAGACAAGATTAAGAAATAAAGGAAGAAGAAGAGACACAGTTCTACCTCTAGTGAAATGACATCCAGCTATTGAAATTTCACTGAATGGTCCACTCTGCTGTTTCAGTAGAAGAATAACAGGGTGGAAAAGGTTTTCCCATCCCTTGAGAATCGTTGAGATTTCAGAAAATGTCCTGTTCCTCATTACAACAAACAGAAGCCTTTTTAATCGTTCATATGTAAGCAGATTCAGGATAAGCTCTACCCTGACATCTGGTGGTGAATTGTGGCAAGTTGTGCAAAAAGACTTCAGGGGCTGATCTTGTTTGCATAGGCACACCCACCCCGCCTAGTATGAGCCCTCAGCAGCCCAAATGGCCACTTTGGCTGCAGTGGGATCCCCAGTTTCTCTGTTATTTAGGCAGGGAGAATAAAGTGTTGTTACCCTGATTATGTGAATCAAGGACAGTGGAACTGTTTTATGACAGAGGGATTCACCATCAACTAAGTAGCACTCATTAGACAAGGGACATAGGTTCCAAACCCAATGAAGTTAAAAAGGCTGGGGACAGGTATTTGTACCTGGTAGTGGGGCCCCTGTCTGAGGGCCTGACATACCAACTGCACCCCCTCCTCTCTCCACTGTGGCATAGGAGTCTAGTTACAGACTGCTGAGCTGAATTCACTTTGGGCCAATGCACCAGCACTGAGGCTCCCCTACTATGAGCTGAAATCACTGAGTGCCGCAGGGGAGCTTGAAGCTATATTGCTGAGCTGCTGGCAAAGCGGTTCACAGGAACGACCGGCAGCCGGCCAGTGGAGTGGCTGGCAGGAATGACTGGCGGGTGGCCGGTAGAGTGGAACAAGATGGCTGGCGGAGCAGGGCAGTTTGCGGGATGGCTGGAGGAGTGTAGCAGAGTGGCTCGTGTTAAAGGCTGCTGAATCCACAGAGCGTCCACACTGCCTGCCTGCTCTTGCTCAAGGAAATTTACAGTACGGTGTGGTAAGAGAGGGCTTCTTGCACAAGAGCTACGCTCTTTTTTTTACAGGTGTAAGCCATCTTGTGCAGGAGCTCTTGCACAAGAGGGCAGTGTGGACTCAGCGGGGATTTCTTGCTCAAGAAAGCCCTATGGCTAAAATGGCCATCGGAGCTTTCTTGCGCAAGAGAGCGTCCACACTGTCATGGGCACTCCTGTGCAAAAGCACAGCTCGCACATGGCAGCATGGACATGTTCTTGCGCAAGACTTCTTGCACGAGAACCCTTGCGCAAGATGTTCTTGTGCAAGAAGCCACCAGTGTAGACAAAGCCTAGTTGCTTTGTTATGATGTATGTGATTGCTACTGTCCTGTGCTGCTCTGTAGCGACTGTATGTGTGTGGGTAGTGCCCAGCAGGGGAAGGGATCTTTGGGTGAGGACTCCTGAGGGAAGGCGGGTAGGGAATGGCCCAGGCCCTCCTGACACCTGAGCTAGGTGGAGGATTCAGTCAGCTGACACTTTGCCCAGGAAACAGGACAAAGGAGTAGGCGGGGAAGCCTGGAGGCTAGGTGACCAGTTGCTAGGTGTGTGAGTTAGTTTTCAGCTGGCTGAGGGAGAGGGGAGTCTAGCTGGCTTGGGGGCCGGGGCAGGGGCCCAGAGCGTACTGGCTGCTCCCGGTTCCTTAACAAGAAGTTTGTGCTACGCTGTTTCCCTCTCAACAAATAAACCTTCTGTTCTACAGACTGGCTGAGAGTCACATCTGGCTGCAGAGGGGGGGGATGCAGGGCCCAGTGACTCCCCCCCCCACTCTGACAGCGGGCAATGGGGTTGCTGGAGGGAAGGATTCCAGTTGGGCCTAGCAACAGGCAGATGGGGTGAGTTACGTATCTGTATTTTAGAGAGTAGTCGACCGGGTCACACTACTTGTGTATTATCCTTCAGAATTCCAAGAGATAAAAGTCTTACACTGTAACCTTCCAACAAAGCTACTTTTGTTTTTATCTGACTTCTCTATATGCATGTTGTGAACATAATACTTTGCTCATAGATAGCACAGAGCCATTAAAATACTTTTCAAGCTTTTTATCCATTTATATAACTATTTATCCTCTGGCTTTTCCCGTAACTCCCCCCCAGAGAGCTTTCTGACTTCCCATATCTAGCCCATTTTCCAAACATATCACCTGACTCCAAACCTTTTAAGAGAGTGACCCGCTGCCATCTCACCATTACCTGTTCAAACAGTTCTGGGGGGATGCTTTGGTTATTGACAAAGGCAGCCTTTCGAAGCAGTTTTTTGGCTTCCTCTATCTTCCCTTTTGTCATAAGCCACCGAGCAGATTCTGGAAGGACCCTACAAAGTGGTTGAAAAACTGCAGTTACTCACTTGACCGTGTCGGTCTGATGTGCCTGGAGTGCTCTTACAAGTGACGGGATTGTGTGCATTTCCTTCAGGAAGCGTGCCGATCTTCTGAGGCGCTTCCAAACAGCTTGTATTTGGGGGCTGTTTTGTTTCAATAGAAATAATGTTATTGAGGGGCCTAAGATTAAGCTCCTAAATCCATATTTAGGCACCTCAATAAAAGTGGCTTGATAGCCAAATGCACTGAGTTCCCAGCAGCTCCTATTAGCTTTGTATCAGCTTTGTATGGCCTATAATGGAAAGCAGTCACCCCTTCAATGAATAGATGTGTCCACTGTGTTCTAGCTCCTGCCTCCCCAGTTTCACAGAAAGACCGCTGCAGTGTGTGGGAAGAGCTCTCTAGTGACAGCACACTTACCATATGTAAAAGAAAAGACACAGCACAGGGACAGATCCAGCAATCTGCAACAGCTTCCAGTTGCGAACCCCATAGGCTAAGCCAGCCAAAGTCATCTGTCCAATGGAAAAGCTGCAATGAGAGATCACCACTGTATGTGTCCGGTAGGAGACTCCAGCCCATTCAGCACCTACAAACATTAACACAGATTGAACTGCTAAAAATCTCAATGATTCAGTGCCATTGAAAGGAGTTTTTTTTCCTATTTCAAATCAGTATCTCTAGAATTCCCAATCTCTCAGTACCACTCAGGGGTTTGCTTTAGAGATGTTAAATATCAGTTAATTGAATAGTCGATTAACCTCATGAATTCTTATTGGTTACTTGACTATTCTATAGTCCCAGGGGGTGGGGCCGACACCGGTGTCCTCCAGCCTCACTCCCGGAGAGCCTTCTGCCACTCCATGCTGCTGCCTCTGATACAGAGGCAGCAGTGCAGGGTCACAGCAGCCCTTGTCCAGAGTGGAGAGAGGGCTGAGCTGCCAGACCTGGTGCAAGCCAAAACTGAGCAAGGCTGTTCGCATGGATCCCAATACACTTTAAATGCAGAACTGCAGTTTGGGTAGGTCCCAGACCCAGTGCGAGCCAGGACTGAGTCAGGCCGCTGGCCAGCCTGCTAAACAATTTACTGGTGGTCGGGGGGGGGGTGGGGGAGGTGCGGGGGAAATGCGTGTAGTCTATAGCATTGACCTATATGCTTTTGCTTATCAGTTAATTGAGTACACTATTACATCCCTACTTTGCTTCATTAACCTTTGTGAATCTCTAGGAAAAAGTGTGAATTGTGTTATAAGAGGGGCTTTCCTCTCTGTGTGTAGCCAGAGTTGTCGGAGACACAATAGCCCATCACCACTCATAGGAAATATTAATGACAAACCGAGCACAAACAAGCTCACATTTTGCATCCTCCAACTAACTGAGCTTGCACCTATGTTTTCTGCACCCCTCCCACCACATACATAAATAATGGGCCAGATTTTCCTCTTCCCTTGACTAGTGTCACTCCCCTGACTTCAATGCGATTACTCCGGATTTACACCAGCGTGAGAGGAAGATAAGTCACTCAGTATGTCAAAAGACATTCACAGGGAAGCATATTTCTAAAAACTGTACAGCTCTTTTATCCAGAAGCCTTTTTCATTGGCTTTTGGGAGCATGGCATGGTGGGGACTTCTAGCTCCAGTGGGCAGGGAGCTCCGACTACAGCCATGGAACTCTGGTCCCAAACCCTGCAGGAATAGTCTGGTTGTGGCAGGGCAGTATGGGCCACGAAGAGAGAGACTTCCCCTGGTCTGGAAAATCCCCTCATTCAGGACTGGTTAGGTCCCAGGGGTGCTGGACAAGGGAGGTCCAACCTGTAGTAGTGTGGAAATCTTACCTAACGTCACTGTGCTTATAGTGAAACCCGACACAGCAACACCCACCAGGCATCTCAAAGCCATGTAGACATAGAAATCTGGTGCAAAGGCTGCTCCAACACCAAATGCCCCCATCAGAAGCATGGAAAACAAGGTAACAGGACGCCGACCTATTCTGTGGGAAGAAATCTATTTGTCAATCTCTGAGGCTACGGTCAGGTTTCATGCCTAGGAAAATATTAAGGGCAAAGCAAAGGAACTGGCAGCCATGCCGGACCCCTGGGCAAGGTGGGGGGCCCTGGCTCCCTGCTCCCAGAAGGGGCAGGGCCTCTCGCAGAAGGGGCGGGGCAAAAGCCTGAATGAATGTAAGAGCCTGATTGTGGTAAGTGGTATTGCTACAAAATCAAAGTTCTGGCCATGACTGTCAGACGTGACAACGGGTTAAGGTATGTCCAGACAGGGATCCGGGTGATGTGGGTGGCTAAGCACTTTCTGAAAAACTCATGGAACTCACCCGGCTCCATGCTGCCAACCACCCAAGCATCATGTACTGGACACTGGGTGAGTAAAGGGCCCCGTTGACCCAACTGACTGGTATGGGAGACCAAGCCCATGATACCGCACTGGGGGAAAAAGGTACCTGAGACACCCAAACTACAACTCCCAAGAGACACAGTGACAGAATTCCCAACCCATTTTTTCCCTGTTTTCACCTGAAAAGTTTCTGGGTATTTAAATTTTCCCCAAACCATCTCCAACTTGTATGTGGAAAATGGAGATCAAAATTATATTGACCATTTTCCTCAGACTTGTCCATAGAATCCCCTCCTCCCCCATTTTCAACCAGCTTTAATAATAAGCAGTCATAAAAATGACTGAGTAATTTGCCCTAGCCCACAGGGCACATCGGAGTCAGGGCCCAGACTCCAATTTTCTAACCACACCAGCCTTGGGGCTACAAGGCTCTATACGAGTGTTTCTTAAACTTTTTAAGACCTAGAAACACCAAATCTTTTTTTTTTTTTAAATGAGGAACACCAAGGATTTTTTGTTGAGAAAAAAAAAAAGGTCGGGGGGAAAAGGGGCGGGGGAAAGGGTGGCCATTTTGAATTTTGTTGTTCTCTGTGGCACACCTCCAACTGCCACAGTTTAAGAAACACTGCTCTATACAATATGCCCTCAAATGCGGTTAGCCTGCTGACTTTGTACAGGTTGATCATTCTCTCTCCTTACCTGTCACTTAATGAACCAGAAACCAGAGCTCCAAGGAGAAGTCCAACCGTGTAAATAGACATGGAGATGTCATGTAGTCCTTTTCGATCACATACCAGGTCAAACTGAAAGGAAGACACAAACTAGGTTTAATTTTAAAAGGGATTTTGTAAATGCTAGATTCATGATGTGTAAGCAGTACAAACATTCCCAGAGAAAACTGAATACTGCATATAGATGCGGGTATCCCATCTCAAAAAAATGATATATTGGAATTGGTAACAGTTCAGAAAAAAGCAATGGCAGTTATTAGGGGTATAAAGCAGCATCCATAGGAGGATAAATATGATTGGGATTTTTCAGTTTACATAAAAGAGATGATTAAGGGGGGATATGATGGAGGTCTATAAAATCATGACTGGCGTGGCAAAAGTAAATAAGGAAATGTAATTTACTTCTTGTAACACAAGAATAAGGGGTCAAATGAAATTAATAGGCAGCAGGCTTAAAACAAACCAGAAGAAGTATTCTTCTCCTAACCTGTGGAACTTTTTGGCAGGGGCTGTTGTGAAGGACAAGACATTAACAGAGTTAAAAAATAAGACATTCACAGAGGTAGGTCCGTCAATGGCTATTAGTGAGGATGGGCAGGAATGGTGTCCCTAGTCTCTGTTTGCCAGATGCCAGGAATGCATTTGGTTCATTCTCAGCCTTGGCCACTGTCGGCAGACAGGACACTTGGCTAGATGGCCCTTTTTTGATAAGTGATTAATACATTACACAGTGCAGGTATGAAATATAAAATCTCATGCATTAAGTTTTATTCACGTGGATCCTGATGAAAAATTAGCTCTAGGACACTTGGCTAGATGGCCCTTTGGTCTGACCCAGTATGGCCAGTCTTATCCTTAAAAATAATTAATCTGTCCAAATTATAAAAAATAAATCTATCAGATTCTGCCAAGCCACCCATAGCTTCACATCTCCAGAAGCCCCCGGTCTTCACTGTAGAATGATTCTACAACTGCAATAAAGCAATTTGTATTAGTCAGGAACAAAGTGATATTACAAACCTGAGTTACCAGCGTTTGCTCTTCCCCTGAAGGGTAGACCCAGCCGTTCCGGCATTTCTCAGTGGAGTTAAGCCCATATTGTAGAATGGAATCAATATCTCGCTCCACTTGAGTGTACATATGGCATTCTTCATAAGATCCAGGAGTGTTCCAAGGAATAGTTAAGTTTAGCTGCTGTTCCTTGCTCAGGTTTGGACTAATGTCATGGATCCAGCTGGTATCACAATGATGAGGCACATCCATAACCATGAACAGTTGGCCAAACATATGGAACGCAATACTAAAACTTCCCAGAGAAATTTGCAGCACCAAACATTTTTGAAAACGCCCAAAATCACCCACAATTTTGAGAATTTCTCCAAAATCAGTCATCATGAGCTTTGTCTGTGGGAAGACAGTACTGAGTCACTCTTTCATATGGGCTAGAATTAATGTTTAAACAGAAAATAAACTCTACAGAAGTACACAGCTAAAGCCAGGAGCTAATTTTTCATCAGGATCCGTGTGAATAAAACTTAATGCATGAGATTTTATATTTCATACCTGCACTGTGTAACGTATTAATCACTTATCAAAACAGGCAAGCACCATTCTCTGTATGCTGAAGGACAAAAGGCAGTGTAGATTAGTGATTAGAGCAAAGGATTTGGTCTCAGGAAACCTGGATTCTTTTGGCATCTCTTCCAAGATCTGGCAGTGTGAGCTTAGACAAGATGCCCAGGACTGGTTTTCAAACAGCATCTTATTTTGAGCACCTCACTCCAGACTTCTGTTGCCTGATTTTCTAAACCACTGAGCCCCTGCATTGCCCATTCATTCAGATTGCTTAGGAGGGTGCAGCACATCTGAAAATCAGGGATCTGATTTAGCACATTACACCCACATCCAGCTGGAATCACTCCTTACAGATCAGTGATGTTACATAATTGTAAGACGGAAGGATGATCCAGTGGTTAGCCTGGGATTTGGGGGAGATGGGCTTAATTCTCTGCTTTGTCACAGACTTCCTGTGTGACCTCAGGCCTGTCACTTATTGTATCTGCCTCAGTTTCCTATCTGTACAATGGGGGAAAATAGCACTTCTCTACCTCAGAGAAGCGTTGTGAGGGTAAATACTCCCATACTGTGCTGAAGAGTGCCAAAGATAAGCAGAGTAACACTAGGTGCTAGGAGTCTGAAGCTGAGCACCTCAAAGTTAGAAGTGATCTTTAAAAATGTGGGGCTAAAAGTGTCAGTTTAAGCCCCACAGCAAAATGAGGGGAACACTGAAGATTTATCCAGCACCTTGGGATCCCAGGATAAAAGCTGACACGGTGAAATAGTCCAGAGCATGGGCTCAGACATCACAGATGCAGCCTTGAAATGCTTATTCACTGTGTGGAAGCATAAAATAGCTTATCAGTGCTAGCGCAGTGTTTGTATTTTCATTAAAGCAGCATTCCCCCCCTTCCCAAGAGTTTACACCAGGCCCAGAGTGAATCAGCACAGAAGGCATTTGAGGAGAAAGGTACTTTAAGTTTACAAATTAACGAATGGGAAAATTGTTGTGGTTATTGAGTCACTGGAAACTGTTCTTTACAGAAACATAGTGAAACCAGTTGTTTTGAAAGAAATTGGTTTCAACAGAGAGTTATTCTACCAGGGTAATCAGGGCACTGAAATAACGAGCCAGGTAAGTGCTTTGTGCATGAGCGGCATCCTTCACTGACCCAGTAAGAACAGAGCGGCTGTCCCACACGCGAGCTTCCTAACCCCACGTGGACCAGCAGAGCTGCTGCTGCGCTCTCAACCTGCGCAGGAAGACCGGTTTCAAGGCCTACATCAGAGAGGACACGAGAAGACCAAGTTCAGTGTCACAGGACGTGTTTAAACAGTTGATAAACTTTCTTATTTTGCATTTTCTAGGGGGCTGTGCCCCCTGCTTGCTACACTCGCCAACCCCCCTCTCTCCTGCGGCTTTTGCGGTCAGAAAGCATGAGAGCTACTCTCACCACCACACAGGGCCAGCCCAAAACCTTTTGGCACCTGGGGCAGGGAGCTCAAATGACGCCCCCATGCCCCCTCGCTTGGGCCAAAACTTTGAAAGGTCTCCATTTTGCCTTCTTCCTGTTCTACTCCTCTCCTGGCACTCCTCCATCTCTGTGCATCAAGAGCGGAGAGAATACATATGCACCCGCAGCAGACACAATTTTCTACACTCTGGGTCCTAGTGGCACCTCCCCACAGTCTGGCACCTGAGGCAGCTGCCTCAGTTCGCCTCATAGTAAGGCCAGCCCTGCCACCCCACTCCCCCTTTGGGGATAAGTGTCTGGCCAGAGGGGAGGGTGCAAGAGCAGGCTGGGGGTAGGTGCCTGGCATGGAGCGGGGGGGAGGAGAACTCAGATGGTGGAGGGAAGCTTGACTTGTGCCCCCACTGGCCGCAGTGGATCGCTTCCAACACTCATGCCCCACCCCCACTCTGCCCAGGCCACACCGGGTCTCCTCCACCATCCGAGCTCAACCCTCCTACATATGTCCTAGCCCACTCCTGTCCCCTCCGCCCTGGCCCGACACCTACCCACACAGAGAGAGGGGGGTTGTTGAGTATAGCTGGGGGGCACCAATCCCTACATAAAAAATCCATTAACAATAAGTTAAACTAAGGAGGCGGAGGTGGCATGAGGATACAGTTGACGTGATGAAGTCACTCTGTCATTCTGCAGGATTTTTTTTTTTTTTTTTTTTTTTTTTAAGCGGGAGTATACAAGAACTAGATGGGTTCTTAATTCTCAAAAAGTAAGAGATGCCTTCAAGACCTGCAGCATTAGGCCATTCAGTGACAGTCTTTGCTTTCCACAATTTAGGTACTTGGATTTGATTTCTCTTTCTGTAAACTTGATATAGATGAGCAAGGGACTGCATGGGGAACACTTCTCTGGTCTACAAGGAACACCATTTTCAGTCTCCTCATCCCACCCTCACTTAATTCTCAAAAAGTAAGAGATGCCTTCAAGACCTGCAGCATTAGGCCATTCAGTGACAGTCTTTGCTTTCCACAATTTAGGTACTTGGATTTGATTTCTCTTTCTGTAAACTTGATATAGATGAGCAAGGGACTGCATGGGGAACACTTCTCTGGTCTACAAGGAACACCATTTTCAGTCTCCTCATCCCACCCTCACCTCAACTCAACACAGCACAGTTAGGTCCCAAATAACCATCTTTATTAAATATACCCAAGGGTGGAGTGTCAGGAGATAGGGGCAGCAGCCGTGTGCTCAGAGACCCGGCTTCCTTTTCATCCCATTCCCCGGATGCTAAGGGAGTGAGGGGAAGTGCTTGCGTTCCATTCATGCCTCTCACGCCTGGCTGGTGAGCTCCATATTTGCATATATACACAACCACACTTAAGTTGCGGCCTTCAGCATGAGTATCATTATGGCCCCCAGGGCTTCGAAAGTGGAGACGACCTGGTCTAGCAGGTACAGCTGATTTATGGAAACCAGCGACCTGGAGCTCCATGGATGGAGAGCGTGATCGGCACATGCTACAGTTAGGCATAGCCTAGGTTGGAAGCTGCAGTACCACACACACATCATTCGATAATGCCGGGCGTTTGGAACATCCTGAAACCAGAACCACTCTGAGGTCAGGGCAGGCTGAGCTGGGAGGAAGAAGTGCTGGTCCACCTTATGACTACAGGGCCAAACAGACTTCTCTGGGGAATTCTGCACCCAAAAATTCTGCTGTACAGTCATTTAAAAACCTCTGCAAAATGTCAATAAATGGGGAGGCTCCAGCATGTCAATGAGGAATACAGGCCACTGACGGCATGATGGTGGGAGATCACACTGCACCACTTCTGCCCGAGACACATGGAGTCAGTAATGAGGCTACCTCCAGCTTTGACAACACTGAGGCTGGGCCTGCCCCAAACACCCCCCCAGGGGCCTGACCCTCTGTGCCAGGCACACCAGGTGTGGACAGAGACGGTCACCTCAGCAGGACCCAAGTGCAGAGAGAATTGGGGGAGCAGGGTTCTGGGGGAGGCAATCTGGATATGAGAGGCTGGTTGGGGCAGAAATCAGAGGGCTCATCAAGGTGGCAAGGGGCAGAGTAGGTGTGGTTTGTCCACATGCCAGATACCTGTTCTATTTTGCCCCGATTCCACTGTCCCTTTTTCTTCCCCATCCCATAACCCTTCCACACAGCCACACTCAGCCCTTCTTGCCCTGCCACACCACCAGCACTCACTGTGGGATAGAAGACAGATCCAAGCACACAGAAGGTGAACCACACTGACACTAGAACCCAGGAGCTAGAAAGTCAACAGAGCAGAGAAGACTCTTTCAGCCCAGAAGTTCTGTGCTCACAGAAATGGGCCCT